TCTCTTTCCCGACTTCCTCTCTTGTGGGCAGGAAGAGCTGCCGGGCTCCCGGAGAGCTTATGGTTAGGCTACGGCGAGTAGCTCAGGCTTCACAAACCTGGGATGCAAGGCCATCAGCTTTCTTCCAGAACGGGGAGCTCACCCAGCAGGGAAGGCTTATCCTTCAGCCACCTTCGTCTTTATATTATAATGTTAATCATAGGTATTTTTCCTCATTCTAAACCTTTGGGGAGGGCAACGATTTTTTTTTTACCTGGAAAATGGTTTTGCTCTTTTTCCAACTAACAAATCCTCATGGCCTGTGCATGGGATGGGAAACTGATAACACTATGTGAGGTATGCCTGGGACAACGAGAGGTCGGAGATGAAGACAAAGGGTGTGGGCAGAGCTTCGGGGCAGATGGCATTAAGCTGAGGGGGGAAGGGGTAATATTTTGCAGGGAGAATGGTATAATGAAGGGAACGTAAAATTTTGGAATCGAAGATCTCCATTTGAATCCTAGCTCTGCCTAATAATAGCCATGTGGCTTGGGCAAGTGATTTAAACTCTCACCCTCAGTTACTTCATCTGTAAAATGGAGATACAATAATTGTTTCACCAAGATGTTCTGAGGATTAAATAAGTAACCAAATAGGAAAAATAGCAGGTAAGGGTACTGGTCCCAAATGTGGGAACTTGATTATAAATGGTTCCTGTCTCTTTCGTCTAGATTCTCAATCCCTTTTCATATTTGTCTTCTCCAAACTATACTTTAAGGACGGAGATTATTTATGTATTTGTTTTCTTGCCCCAGTGCCTAGTTTGGGGTGAGGCATCTATTAAATGGCCAGGGCAGGTTTGTGGACCTCTGGAGGGCACACAGGAATGTCCCGGTGGCTGGGATCAAGAGGAGCTTTGGTCCTGTGAGTTGCATTCTGCTCCCTTCTGCTCCCTTACTCACCGTGTCCTTTTGTCTTCTGGTCCTGTTCGGAGACTCCCGTTCCCAGTCTATTTCTCTCTCTCTCCCCGTATTCATGGGGTGATGTGTGGTTGGAGAATATGCCTCATTGAGCATGGAGACCTCATTTTGACTCTCTGGCAAGTTGCTCAGATAATCACTCTAATTGCAATGACATTAGGTTAAACTCTTGAATTATCTGCCTTTCACTGCAAGAGTCAGGAGATTTCCAGTGGGTGGAGCCTGTGGTCCTCTGTTGCCATGGCGATGGCAGGTCCTGGGCTCCAGCTTCTCTCCACCGTCCCCTCTGCACACTTACCTTCACACAGTCCATCCTCATCTGTTCTCTGATGGCTTCAGGTCCAAAGTCTAGGGATAACTGAAGCGGAATTGGGGATAATTGGATAAAAGGTAAAAGTGATACTGCTCTGAATAAAACTGGTACAAGATCTGAGGCTCAGGTGTAGCCCCTTGCTTTACCAAGACATGTTTGGCAGAGAGACAGAGCCACTGGTAGCCTGACTCTCCTCATCTCTTCAAGCTGAAGTCACTGATGCCCCACTCCCCAGGCTGTGGTCTCAGCCCCCCAGTTTTCTGAACAAATGTGTATTTAGCTGGAGGCTCACCCACAGACTTGGACCTTCTCTGGGCCTGAACAAGGGTCAGCGCCAAAGTGTGGGGAGAAGAGGAAAGGGCTTTGAGAAGAATCTTGAGGGGGCAGGATGAGTGGAACTCATTAGCAGACTGGAAGTAGGGGTTAAGGAATAGAGCAACCCCCAGGTTTCTTCTCAGGGCAATGGGTAGTGGCTTCCATTAAGGCCCCACTGAGACTGGGAACTGTCCAAGTTCCCACAGGAGGAGCAGGTGGGTGGGGAATGGGAGAGGATTTCCACTTTGCATACGCTGGCACCCCAGCACAAAACGGGCACCAGCCCATTTCAGTTCTGCTTTTTCATACTGAACTGGTGAGAGATGCCTGCCTAGCAATGAGGAGGGAAAGGACTTGCTCATAAGAGTCAGTTCAGGTCTGCATTATCCATCTGGAGTTCACACAGACCTCACAAGTCAAAGGCATGGTCCCCAACAAAATTGTCCCCACTTAGATGTCATCTGCCAGTGGGGGCCCCAGGCCACCCCACTTCTAACCAAATAGCTAACAAATTTAAGGGATCCCCATGACCTCCCTTGGGTTTGATCACCTGTAGATGACTCCAAACACTTGGGAAAATTTTATGCTTACAATTATAGCTTTATTCTAAAGGATATAAATCAGGACCAACCTATGAAGACACATAAGGTGAGGGTGGGGATGGTGGTGAATCTGGGACCCTTGTCTTCTCCTGATGGAATCAGATAGTATCACCCTCTGTTATAACACATCAACGTGCTGACCACCGAGGGTCCAGAACTTTCCCTGGGATTTCATCACATAGGTGTGATCGATAACTCACTCTCCAGTCACCCACCCCTCCCCAGGCTCAAAGCCCCAACCGGCTAGTCACAGGGTTGGTCTTTCTGGTTACCAGCCTTCTTCCTAAGCCAACTCATTACCAGAAACTCAGGTGGATCATAGACCCGCCTCTCACGGGAAAGTCCAAAGGTTTTAGAAGCTTTGTCCCAGGAACCCAGGACAAAGACCAGGCAAATTGTTTATTATAAACAGAAGTAGAACCAGGTCTTGACCCCATGTCCGCAGAATCCCAGTCAAGGGCTTTCCCCTTTGCCCCACACCAGACCCACAGCACCTGGCTCCCACCCGGCTTTCTGGCTGTGTGTTTAGGAGAACATGAGAAGCCAGCATGGATTCTGTCCTTCTGCAGACCTGGAAAGGAGTCTCAGGTATTTCGAAACCACACTTTGTCCTTGCATTTGTTTGCCTGGCTGAAACTAGACCAAATCCACAATTGGACGTCCATGTTTCTAAGGTAATAAAGCAAAAGCAGCAAGGATGCTGGCAGGTGCACCAGTCCTCGTGCAGGGCTCAGCAGAGGGCTTGTCTTCAGGACAGTGCGAGGCTTTTGAAAGCAAGCCACGTAGGAGGTGCTAGTACAGACCCGGGATCGCGGAGGTCTGCATTTTAAACAAAAGCCCCCCTCCCCACCCACAGCTCTCTGCCCTAGGTAGCTATATTTCAAAGCCTGCACGCTAACAGGGAATGGTGGATAAGAAATTTTCAAGGAATAAAATCCTGGGCATGCAGGCTGCAAAAGTGTGGCTCATTCACTTTAATTACCCATGCGAAACCCTGCCATTTGGGGGGCAGAGAAAGGGGTTTTTATTTACTATACACTTACTGTGAGCCATACACTGTACTAGGCATTTACAGCTCTCAGTCACATCCTTTAACACTCACTGTTCTATGAAATATACCTTACCATCCTGATTTAATAAAGAAACAGGCTTTTGAGAGATGAAAGAACGTGGCCAGGGATGTGCAGTTGGGAACAGGCAGAGCTGTGACTCAAACCCATGTTCAATGCTAACAACCATCCTTTAGCCTACAGCAGACGGTCTCCGACAGCTGGTAACGTGGGAAATGTTGATGTCATTTTTGTTTACTTGGTACTTTATTCAGTATTATGTTTGTATAATTATGTAATTAAACTGTGATGCTTAGAAAACCTGTAACTTTGAAAGCCCAGAGCAACAGAAGCCCATCAAAGAAACACTGCGTTCACATTGATCCTGCTGGGAAATAGCTCAGCACATTTCTCTGAAAGCCCCACTGACCTTGTCTAAACATGAGGCTGGTTTTAGTCCTTAAACCACCGCTAATTCAGGCCTCTGGGGTGGAACAGATGTCCTATTAATGATGAAAGTCGCAATGACATAAAAGGCTCACTGTGGAATTATAAGAGCAGTCCCATTTCCAGCTCCAGTTTTTATTTTACATCCTATGACTGGCCTCTCTTGATAAATGAGGTGGCCTTTTCTGGAAGGTTGGGCAGAAGGCCAGAGCCCGCGTTAGCTCAGCACTAGTGCCACCTGGTGGCCGGCGGGGGTGTCAGAGGGTCCTCCCCGCATTGCAGATTCCAGGATGGGGCAGGGCTTTTTGGTCTTTGCCTCCTCCAGGTCCTCAAACAGGCGTTTTCACAGCAGCGCCAGAGAAGTCTGGGTGTGGGGAGGAGGTGAATGCGGCAACCACCTACTTCATATAGCTGCAAAATTCTAACTGACTCTGATGGCTGATTTTCAGACATGGACAACTTTGTGTTTTGACCTTAGGCAGATACAGCACAAGAGTGCTTTGGCTTCTGCTTCTTTCAGATCTCTGGCCCCACTGATACCAGCTTGTAAGCCCCATCAATGCACAGATGGCGTCCAAATTCGTGTCCACAGTTCACATCACCTACCAGGAAGATAGTGAGAGGGTTTAGGACATCCAAGACTGTTCACTCAACAGTTCTGGTTTCCTTCTCAAGGTGGTTCTCAACCACCTGTCCAGGGAGGAGAGCCAGAGACATTTCCTCAGTGCCGTATGAGTGACGTTTAGGAGCATCAGCCAGGGGTCATGCCTTGAGGAAGGGCTGAGAACGCAACGTTTGTGAGTTACAGCCTAACTTTGAGAAGTGCCCTGGCTGCTCAGGGAGACAGCCTTGTTAAGATAAAATTGAAGTAGGAAACAATAATAGGTGGGGAATGCCAGGACAGAGGCCAAGTGCCAGGATAGAGGGTATAACAGGGCCAGTTCAGTATTTGCAGTCAGATTTACCCGGGCTTGAATCCTGGATCTGTCACTTAATTGTTATATACTTGGGGAAGTGATTGGGGAAGTTTTCTCATCTGTAAAGTGGACATAATTATGTCTGGTTTGCTGGACGATAGTAAGGAATAAGCCTAATTGTGGAAAGAAATCATCCGAATGAGAACGAACAGAGCTTGCTTTAGCAAGGGAACCAGCCACCATGGCTGAGTTTGCAGAGATTCGTAATCAAGCAGAGGAGTAGGAAAGCTTTACAGCCCAGAAAGGGAAGGCTTCAGGTGCGCTCTGATTGGCGGGCTAAACAGAAACGGGGCATTCTTATATGATTGGTTTGGGGAACATATTTGGTTTTCCCTGATTGGTTCTGAGTCGGAAGCACGGGCAAAAATTAGGGATGCTGGCAGCCAGTGCCGGAGTCCTGCTGGTCCTGGGCGGATCACTGTGGTCTGGTTTCCTGTGCCGGTTGCTGCAGAGGCTGTGGGTTGGCGTTCAGTTGTCTCACATGGGCCGGCCTCTGTCCTTCTGTATATTCAGTCTTTCCTAATGCACTCAAAGCTTGTCACATGGTGTATGACAGTCCCAGGTAAGTCAGTAAATGGCGGTCATTATTAGCATTATAGTCACAATGATCAGCAGTGGCTCTGAAGTTGTAATCGAGCTGGACATTAGTGGGGGCTTCCCAGCAGCTGCTCTCTCTGTTCTAGTCAGGAAAACAGAAAGCGTACCAGTTATTTTAACAGAGATAGTTTAATATGAGAAATTGGTTACAGGGCTTGGAAAACTGACACAAAAGAAGGGCATGTGAGGTAAGACGCAGCTACAGCAGGAAGCAGATGCTGCCCCACGGCTGGAGGAACAAGGGGAAGAGACTGAAGCTGTCGGGACTCAGAACCCAGGGGAAGGGCTTCGCTGGAATTCCCCGGGAGGGCGGCGCTGGCTGGCTGGTGCAGGTACCCCAAGAGCTCAGGGCGGGGCTGAAGGGCGGGGAACCGGACCTCTGAGTCCAAGGCGGCTGATGCAGGCACGTCAGGAGAGCAGAAGACCCCTGGAACCTGGAACCAGTTGCTGCTGAAACTGGTTGCTGCTGCTGGCTGGGTGAAGCAGCGTTATTTCAGTGAACTTGGTAGGAGGAGCAGGCAGACAAGAATGGGAAGCATCTGTCTCCCTCCTTTTGCTCTCTGGTGACCCTACTGTGGTAATTAACTGGGATCCACTGACAGAGGAGAAGTGAGGGTGCAGCATCCTGGACCCAGCATATGCAGCGGAATGTGGGGTGTGGGTGTGGAACTGAACGGCCACAGCTTCTCCACCTGCAGACTCCCTTCTTCACGATTTACAGGACTAATGCTTTGGGGAAACACAGGCACTCCTTGTATCCTTTTTTTCAGGTCTGCAAATCTTTGTTTTCACAACTGAAAATCAGCCCATTGTAAATAGACAAGCAGTTAGTGATAATCAGTTTGGATAATTTTCTGCCCATCCACCCTTTTCCCTGCATCTGAAGTTGCATGGACCTAGAGAAAACCCCAAGCCTCTCATTCCCCAGTGATCACGCAGCCTCTGCTTCCTCCTCTTTTTTTTCTACCAAGAACCAAGAGGTCCCTGGAGAAGTTTCCAGTCCTTTCCTTAAGAGGGACACGGGAGAAGAGAGGTGCAGGGGTCTGGTTCTACTTCTTTCCAAGCTAGATCCTCCCATTCTGCTTGGTCAGACTCTTTCACAAGATTACAGGGCTGGAGATGTGGGCCTCCCCTCCCCTATGTGAGGCAGGCAGGGCTCTGGTTAGACTTTCGTTCGGAAGCAAGTACCTATGCCACAAACAATGCCAGGTATGGGGAAAGCCAAAATGAATCTAACAAGGCTCCTTCCCTGGAGGAATTCGTATCTAATGGAGAGAGACAGATTCCAGCCAGTCAGTATAATACGATGTGAGCACAAACATGCTGATGGTGTTGGGGATTCACTAATACCCAACTCTGTCTAAGAAGGTCTGTAGAGGAATGAGTTTCTGTGGCCAGGATTCTCACCTGATCCTGGTCGGCTTGCTCACTGCACACTCTATATAAAGAGATCTGCCCAGGTTTCTGGGGTGCATGACTGCAGAAGAACAGAAGCTGGAGTGGTGGCAGCGCTGAGGACAGAGACTGAGATGGCTGCGGGGACAGAGAGGCCCAGAGGCAGAGACCTGCTTGCTGTATGCAAACTTGCTCTGAGGTGGACAGGATTCTGGTGCTTGACCTGCCACCATGAGAATAAAGTTGGGTATAAACTCTTTCACCCCAAGAATGTTCCACTGTCACTTATGGGTCTCACCAAATCAAGGGTGTACTTGCCCAGGGCTGAAACCCACTGGCAAGACAAGATCTCAGCAGACTCTCCAGAGGAGGTGTCATTCGACTTGAGCCATGGAATAGAAATGTGCTAGAGGATTGAGGAGGGAGAGGATACCCCAGGCAGAGTCCAGCATCTGTGGTATAGTCTGGAGATACACAAGAGCACCTCTGTTTAGGGACCTGAAAGGAGGTGTGAAGCCGGGGCCCAGGTCTAGGGACAGGTGAGTAGTGTGGAGCTCTGGGATGAGTCTGCAGGGCTCAAGAGGAATCAGCTGCCTAAGAGCCTGAGCTAACACCAGGGGAGAGACAGCAGGAAGCTGTGGGCAGGACGTGACCCAGCCTGCAGTTACAAAGACCACTGGCAGCTGTGCAGAGGCTGGACCGGGAAAGGGCGCTGGCAAGACTGCAGGCAGAAAAGCAGCTGAGAGCCTGGGTCATTCCTTACTGGTGGGTTTAAGGATGGTAAGAGACATTCCTAGGTTCTCCCAGCCCAGGAGTGATTTGAAGCAGTCAGCAAATACATATAGGTGGCAGGACTATGCCCAAGCTGCTGCGCGTAGCTCCCACCCGTCCCCTGAGTAGACCTGGAAAGACCACGTTTTGACCACTGATGGGGCACCCTGGGGGCTGAATGGAGACGGTGGAGGAAGCAAGGCAGGCAGAGGCAGGGCCCACGGGCTGGAGCATGTGGGATTCCACAGGCTGGATGTCTTTCCTAGGGCTACTGAAGACTGAAGCCAACTTCGAGGCAGACGAATGACGGGATCAGAGGCTGTGCTTCAGGAGGGTGAGTGCGGAGCTGCACATGGGATGGACTAGGGCAGGATGGGGGGCTTGTGATGGAACCTGCGTGCAGGAGGGTGACGACGGGCATCCGGTTCCGCGGTGGTTTTGGGAGCAGAGAGGATGATGGGCCAGCATTGGACGGGAGACTGTTTTAAGTTTGTGGAGGCTGATGAGGAAATGGGGAGGCAGGAGCCAAAATGTTCCAAGGTCAGAGTAACGTAAATGGGAGGGAGACAGCCATTGGGAAGGCAGGAGAAGGAACAGTCTGAGCACCAGCTGTTGGTATCTGACGAATGGGTTGCCTCATTCCGTGCGTGTCCATGTTGCTGATATCCTCTATGGAGCTAAACTCATCACTTGTGGCTTCATGAGGACATTAAAGTGATAAGAAAGGAGACCACAGAGAAATGAGGGCTACAGTCTCCAAGGATAATTTGATTTCTGGTAATAATTTTCTTTGCAACAGTAATCATAACAGGACTCCATTTATTTTATATTCCTGCTTGGAAGGGCTCCACTGGGCTAATTTTAGTGAGGAGACATTGAAATTAGTCTCCTCATTCACTCCTGATAGTACTCTAAATTAGTACAACACTTTGGAAAGTAATATGGTAATATGGGACGAGTCCCACAGCTAGGAATTCATCCTTAGGAAACATATGTTTTTAAAACAAAAGCTAGGAGCTCAAAGAAGTTCATTGGAGTGTTGTCTATGCTAACTAAAAATAGTGAGAACAAAAAAATCCCTCCACAAGGAAATGGTTTGGTAAATGATGCTATGATGATTCAATCTAGTACTATGAGCCTATGAAAGTGCATATTACAATTATACTGATGGCGAAACACGGAAACACGTTTGATGTGTTAAGTGGAAGAGAATAGAGTACAAAGTACTTGGTACACTTACATTAACTGTAACTACACGCATGCATGAGGATTAAGACTGGAAGGTGATTTTAAGAACTGACAGTAGGTATTGTGGTAAATGGTGTGGGCTCAAGGGCCAGGGTGCTGGGCCCAAATCCCATGACTTAGTCATGGGATTCAGTAAGTCCCAAAGCCTGGGACCTTGGGTAATGTCTTTAACTTCCTTCGCTTCGGATCCTTATCTATACAATACAGGGTAAAAAATGGGTATAAGGCAAATGCCCATCACAGATTGTGGAGAGTGACCAGATGAGATAATGCATGCAAAGCTCTTGGCTCTTGAGAAATAGGCAACAAATGATGCCTATTACTAGGGGTGATTGCTATTTTAAATATATTCTAGGTAGATTACCTCAATATTTTGAAAAGTGCACAGGTGATGCATCATCACTCTCTTTAATGGAGTTTGGTAGATCCAAGTGGGATTAAACAAAACATAGAGAAGAAAATGTTAGGTGCTGGGTTCTCTGTTTCATCTCTGTGGCTTTGCTTCTGTTTTGTCCCCGAGTTTTAACCCTACTTGACATCTGACCAGCTCTGGGAGCGAAATAAATATGAAACTGAGAAAAGAAATTATTGCTCAATGCCTTAGCCAGAACTTTTAGCTGCTTTCCTGCTCTGACTGTTGGGAGCACAGATTTAAATAATTTAACCTCATCTACTTTCCTTCCCAAATGGTAGATGCATCAAGGGTCAGCTAGACAGCTGCAAAGGGGACAGGGGGAGGGCACAGGCCTGGTAGGGGTACCTTGTGAACTAGATTAGTGCCATGTGAGGTCTGCATCACTGGGCAGGGAAGGAGGAGAGGCTGGCGGTCATTCCCGAGGGTCCTCTGGGGGGGTTGTCACCAGATGCGGGACACCTGCAGTCATGGCTTCATCAGCACTTGGGGGAGTTGGTACTACTCTCTTCTTTTCCATTTATTCTGTAAGACATGTCTTCCGGGGTGCCCACCAAGGCAGTCAGAACACACACTGGTTATTCTGCAATGATCCTATTCCTGCCCAGCTTCAGAGCAAGGGAGGTACCGCTGGTTCCTGCCCACTTCTACTGGTCCTCTTATCACTGCAGAGGATTTTAGACTCCTGCAGGGTAGCCAGGGCCTCACCTTCAGCTGCGCATCACTCAGCTTTGAGCACAATCTTGAGATCAATACTCCACTCTAAACATGACCCCAGGACTCCATCTGTATCCTGAATAAAAGGCTGTGTTTTTCAGTATCAGGTTTCTGATACTGAAACAGGCTGGACAAATCCCCAGGACACCAGATCTGTACAGGGAGACCCTGTAAGCAGCCAGGTACCTGCTGCTCCCTGAACACCTGTGAAAGCAGCCGATCTTAAGGTGAGTACCCTGCTCAGACCCGTTGCTCAAAATGCCCACCAGTGTTCCCAGGGAGGTTCACCGTAGCATTATCTTAATAACCAAGGTTTGAGAGTAATCCAGACATCCGTAACTAGAGGGTTGATTAAGGGAGTTATGCACAATACTACGAATAAGCAAAAAGCCGTCTCCCCACTGATATGGAAAGATACTCTAGATATACAGGTTAGTTAAAAAATAGTGTTGAGAGACTTCTGGAAATACAGTAGATTAGACACTGGACTAGTGCCACTCTGTCCCGAACTAAAGTAACAGAGTGTAAAATTGATGTTAAATACAGCCTAATTCCAGTTTAATCTCAAGAATAACATGGGTTTCTAGTTCTCACCTCTAGTTGGTTCAATAAAAATGAACCTTTGGAGGGTAACTCTCCAGTTTAATGAAATGTTTCCAGGCCAGAATTATACTCCTAATAAGGCCTTCTATGATAAATGCCACAACGATGGTTTTATAATATGTAAGATTTCTAATTACAGATATTCCACAATTACGGTTTGCCAACCAGGTGAGATATTTTTATTTCCAAAGGTGTTACATTATTTTGTAACCATCACAAGAATACTTGATTTAGGCAAGAATCATCAATGGGTGCTAAAATTGTCACGAGAACAATTTTGAGGGCACAGGATCCTTACACAACTCAGGGAGTCATGTCACAGATTATTAAGCACAAAGAGAAAAGGACCTTTGACGTGGATAAGGCTGGCAGACGTTGCCTTAACCAAATGATCCCACTTACCATCACCAGTAATGGAGCAAACAGCATCACCAGCCTGCTGTTATGACCCATCAGGCCTGCAATCAAACATGTGTCACCTGAATGTGTCATGAGGAGCAATCAGACAAATCTAGATTGAGGGACTTTGCACAGAACAACCAGACTGAGTGTCCCTGAAGTATCAGTCGGTGTCATGCCAGACAAAAAGAAGCCGAGGAACTTTCCAGACTAAAAGATATTAAAGAGATATGACCGCAATGCAGTGAGTGATTCTACACTGGATTTTGAACTTAAAAAGAAAGAAACAAAAAGCTGAAAAGATATTATTGGGACAACTGGAAAACTTTGAATATAGACTGTATATTGGACCATAGCATTCTATCGGTGTCAATTTCTGAAATGTGTTCATTTTAATATAGTCACATAGGAGAACATCCTCAGGTCTTAGGAGATATTTGTTTAAATATTTGTGACATGAATATATTTGCCAACCTCTTGAAAACAATAAATAGGTACGTAGAATAGAAAGTGTTAGCGCATTCAACAACCGTACACTGAGCACCTATTATGTGCCAAGTGTGCCGCTGTGGGCACTGGGGATACAAATGTAGTAGAAATATATATACAAGATGCCTGCTTTCATGACCTTGCATTCTGAGGAGGAGAATAAAGTGATATTGAGCAATGTGGGGCCCAGATTCCCCCTTTGGGGCCAAGGCACTCATTCCCTCCGTTTCTGGCTCACACCTCCATCCTTCTCTGGGAATCACTCTTGGCTGCAGGGGACTTCCTAGCCCAAGGTTTTGTGTCCCCGACTGGAGGCAGCCTACCAGTGACCTGCCTTTATGGAGACACAGAAGCCTGAGCCCCCCTTCCATTTAGGATAACTCTGAAGGGCCCCCGTCCCAGCCCCGGAGGTGCCCGTGGGCCTTATTGCACCTGCCTGGCCGCTCCCTCTGCCCAGCTCCGCTTCCCCCATCCCCTTGCAGGTGTTGTTTCTGAGAGCACACCCCTGTTAACCTCCTGCACTCGGTTCAGCCTCTCAGAGTCTGTTAACTGGGGAAGCCAGCCTGAGATTCTAACCAAATTACTGAGCCAAATGGTAAGCATGAAACAGATGTGGGATGTGATAAGGCCAGGTAAGGGCCAGGTGGGTAAGAATCTTGGGTGAAGCCTTGGCACAATCTGGTGACGAGAAACCGTGGGTTCAAAACAAAAAATGGTTTTGCTCCAATCATAATCTAATCTTATGTCCCTTCCCAGCCTCTGCATAGTTCTCAGATTGGAAATATTTGATTAAAGTCATTTGTCTGTCTTTTCCCTTCACTTTTAAGATTTTCTGCCTGGTTGGAAAGAGAAAACCAGAGGCAAATTCTCAGATTCAAGCTTTAGGAGGAACAAAGAAAGACATTCCTTGCCCACCCTCCCTCCTCCAACTTCTCCTCCTCCTCTGACTATTTTTAAATAAGAGGACAAAGCATGCCAGCCTTGACAAGGGGTTACTGATAATGGGTCTGCAAAGGGACCACCCACCTATCCTCACTCCATTTATGGCTTCGTATCTAAAAAAGCCAATTATAGGAGCGCCAGAGCTCAGTGAGTGCTGAGCTCTGGCAGCTCTCCGTCTCTCCATCTTCCTAATGGCCATGCCTGGGGCACTGGAGAGAAACTGGGGAGTCTCTTGTAGGGGAAGACATCCCTCTCATTATATAAGGTTATCATGCCCTGTGACAGTTATGGGCAGAAGGAAACAATGGTGCCAGGAAATGTGTGTAGTGGTAGCTCCGTGCATAGTAGGGCCACGCACCTTGCTTCTGGACTGCCTATTCGTGCTGCTGGGAGGGAAATCTTCAATTTGCAATCCTATTTGATGCTTAATTCCCCAGCAGAGCTCTCCTTCAGCATTGATATAGTGATGACCTTGGACACTGGCAACTACCTTTTGGATATACGTCCCTAGAAAGGGACAGGGACATTTTAGTTCGGTGCACTGGAAGCATCAAGGCATCTCGATAGGCAGAATTAATGTCTATCACCTTGAAGATTCCTTTTAGGATAAGGATGGAAATTTGGGAATAAAACGTTTACCTGGATCCCAGGCCTGGTTTTAGTTGTGACAGGTTCCAATTTCCTGGGCAAGTCTCTCAAGAACCCTTGGAGCCCATTGCCTTTTCTGTAACATGAGCCAAGAACCCCTGAACTCCGTTCACCACACGGATCATAGGAGGTTAAATGGGATCGTTTTGGAAGTTACCCTCCTGCAGAAAAGACAGTGCCCACTGTGTCCCCTGGGCGTGTTTAGGCAGCAGGGCCCAGAACTAGTCCTCTCGGAGGGGATTTGGCTTTGTACCCCTTTCGCAAGGACGGCCACCCAGGCTGGCTCAGTGTCTAGCAGGATGGCCCTGCTTATTGCTCATGTTGTCTGGAGGGGAAAGGAATGCAGGGGATGCATTGAAAATGATCTCCATATGACTGCAGTTCCCCCTGTTTCGTGTTTTAAAGGATTTTAGGGCCACAAAACGAGTGGGTTTTGGTTCTTGCTGTAGATCAGGCTTGCTGGGGGATAAGGGAGGGAAGAAAACCCCGCCACAGGACAGCTTCTGATCATAAATGGTGCGTGGAAGGATGGAGGTTTCTGTGTCATAGTGTTTTTCTGAGGACAGAAGGAGAGTACGTGTGAAGTGCTCACAGGAATGCCTCACGTGTCTGGACAGCTCTGTAGGATTAGCTACTATTGAGAAGAAGATGATCAGGGTGAAGGCCCCCCCCCTACCATCTGTGGGCCCCCAGCCAGACCACAAGCAGAGGCTCACTTGCCTCTGGATATTTAGTTTGAAACAAGCCAACAAACTTAAATGAAATAATGGTCTATTCTCCTACCTTAATGAATACACCCTTATAATGACCCAAAGGGCGCAGTTCACATTTAGAATCCGCAGGCGCCTTGGAGTTCTGTGTCAGAGCGTGGGAGCCTGGGGGCCAGGCTGGTCCCCAACCCCCAGCCTGTGGCCTTCGCCCCTCTGTTTCCACTTCTGGTTCTGACCTACCCTGTGAGGCCACCTCAGCCTGCACATCTGAGCTCCATCCTTCCTCTGCGCAGACAGTCCTGTTTGGGCCCCTAATGCCCCCAGCAGTGCATGCCCTGGGGGCACAGGACCACCCTGAGGGTAGATCTAACAAGGAAGCCCGTTGGGGCCCTGGAGGCAGGCTTGGGATTGTTGTGAATGGCAGCCTGCGGTTGGGGTAGTGGTTCGGGATTCAGGTGGTCACTGCTTCTTGGCCAACAGATTCCTCCTTCTTTGGGGAGAGGGGTAGCCAGGTGGCGGGTGGAGGGGGGGTCCTCTAGAGCACAGGGCACAGAATGGGAGCCCTGCCTGACTGGGTCTAAGGGCCCTGCGGACTGCTGTTTCAGAGCATTGTTTCAAGAGCTGGACCGCCTAGGATTAAATCCTGGCTTCATCACTTCCTGGAGTGTGATCTTGGGTAGTTAACATCTCTGTCAAAGTTTCCCCTTCTAGGGGTGACAGTCAGAGTCCTGGCTCTGCAGGATTGTCCTGCAGGCTGAACGGGTCAACACATGTGACGGCACCTGCTGGGAGGCCGCACGGAGGGGCGCTCTCAGCGTGAATGCCCGTAGCTGCCTTTCTTAGTGATGGTGGAACCTGATACCCTCCCAATAGTCAGTAGCCCATTGCGGCTCCTGCCTGGAGGGAAGGAAGGGAGAAAGGCCCCATAAAATGATTTCACACAGCGCTTTCCAGACCGGCTTTCTCATGTGCCCAAGGTTGGTAGATTCAATTTTTGGAGGGCGAAGTCTGGAAAACAGGCCTCCGCAGCCCAAAAGGTATTCTGGCATATTTAAAAACAAACCCCTCATAGAAAGGACTCTCAGACTATTGCTGACATGGTTGCAGGAAGGAGACAGTGTTGTCTCAAGACCTTAAGTGCACAGGAAACTCCCACATGTTTGGAGTACATTAAAGTTGTGTCCAGTTTGAAGGCAGAGGAGGAATGGAAATTATTTTTTTTTAATTCTGGTAAAAGACCCATACCATCAAGTTTACTATTTCACCTATTTTTGAGTGCACAGTGCCAAAGTATTAAGTACATCCACATTGTTTTGCAACTAAGCCCCAGAACTTTTTCATCTTGTAGAACAGACATTCTGTACCCATTAAGTAACCCTTTCCCATTCCTCCCTCCCCGTAGCCCTTGGAAACTACCATCTTACTTTTTGTCTCTATGAATTTGACTGTTCTAAGTATCTCATGTAACTGGAATCATCCAGTATCTGTCCTTTTGTGACTGGCTTCTTTGGCTGAGCATAATGTCCTCACGGTTCATCCAGGTTTCAGCATGTGACATGAAATGATTTTTAATGCGCTTTCCATCTTGGGGTTGGTACCCTGAAACCTCCAGACAGTTGAGAAGTGGAAGATGTAGAACTGGGCCACTCAACATTAGAACCCAGTATCTGAGATGGGTCCTAAGGCTTTACTTTCCTCCTGGGAGCAGAGCCCCTCCTCATCCTGACGCCTGTGTATTCAGCACCTGGTAACACCTGCATTATTAGAGGAGGAATCATGTTTGAATGGTTTCTCAGATTTACACGGACAGGTTGGAGAAAAAAATACAGAACCACAGGTACTAATTTGATGGAAATCCAAAAGCAGTTCTACTGACATTTTAATTATTATGCATCTCCTACTAGGCTAGGGAAAGCTTTTGTCAAATCCGGTAGACTTCCAACGAGCACTGAATTCAGGCAGTGCCCAAAATAATTTTGAACTTCGAATCATAATGGATTTGAATTCCTTTGTCTGAACATTAGCTTGCAATGTCTTGGTCAGTACCTCTAAAAGTCTTCCTTGACTCCTGTCTGCAGAGATCTGTCCTCTAACACTTTGATTTAGTACCCATTTCACTAAAGCAGGAATTAATACATTCTGCTGCTTCTATCCCACTCCACAGTGCCATTTTCAGGTGATAGACACATTTTTTTGGATAAATGACTGACTGACTGAAGGATAAATACTTAGTACAAATTGTGAAATGCTTTAATATTATAGTTGTAATAATGTTATCCTGATAACAGGATAAAAATGTTCCCTTTTGCTGATTTGCAATTTCCTTTGAGGTGGATTGCTCATGAATTGACTAATGAATGTGAGAATCCTGGAAATATGACTTAGAGGGAGATATTGAAGGCAAAAATGGAAAATGTCATTTTTCAAGAAGAAGGAAATAGGAACATAAATTTCATTATTTTTGTGATCACCTATTCATTCAAATGCTTTCTCACAGCATCAGTTACCCATACTGGGCACCCATTATTATAAGTCACTGTGCCCTAGCATATAATAGGGGTACAAAGATGAATGGGACATTAACCTTTCAAATCTATAATGTGAGCATTCTAGGACATCAGGCATGATGAAAATTGATATGATGTAAAAATACAGATGGTGTAATAAGAAAGGTATAAATACTTGCTATGAATTGCAGGGGAAGAAAAACTGACTTCCAGCAGCAGGCACTGGGGCAGAGGGATCAGAAAAGGCTTCGTGAAACAGATGGCATGAAATGGGTCTCTAGCGTATCTAAGCTGTGGGTGACCAGGGGTGGGGTGGGCTCCAGACAAGGGACCAGAATAAAGGCTAGAAGGTGAAAATAAGCAGAGCAGTGAACAAGGAACAAAGAACACGTTTGGAGGAAATGCAGCCTTTGAGAAGGGAGGGGATTAAGTTGAGGCCTGAACCCCCAGGAGGGCCAGATTGGAGGCTCCTCCTCCCACTGCTGCATCCCAACGAGGCATCTGAATGTGCCCTATGGAGTTTAACCTGAGAACAGATATGCATGGTGGGACTACAGTCACGCTCAACCAAAGTAAGTTGAGCTCAGAGAGGTTAAGTAACTTGTCTAGGATCACAGGACTATACATAAAGAATTATATAATATGCTAACTGTAACTCCAGGAAGAGGAAATCCCGGGCAAAATATCTCTAAAACCAAAATCAGTCAAAGGGAGAAATACAGCTTAAAATCCATTTATTGCTTATAAACTGCAGTCCAGTCTGGGCCCTTTCTCTGTCCTGCTCTGGCAGAATCAATCAAGTCCTCCCCAAACCTCTCAGGTTCAGATAAGCTCTCTGTTGCCCAGGTAAATACCCATTGATATGGAGATGAACTACCACTCTCCACCCCTGAGGAATGCCTGTTGGTATGTAGATGCACTAAAGCCAGGCAAGATGTTCTAGAAATACTACAGTTTCACCCACGCCAATATATGGTAAAATGTCATTATCGTCAATACCATTTTATAGAAATTCCCACATGAGAAAGTCTAGGTTCTAATCATTCTTTTTTGTTCGTTTAATAATAATAGTAGTCTTTTGCATATCATTGCATATTTACTATGCAATATGCACCATGTGTGATCTTCTGAACAATGTGTGAAGTAGATACTATTACTGTGCTCATTTAACAGATAAGGAAATCAAACTCATAAAGGCGAAGTAACTTGGCCAAAATGAACATGGTAAGTAAATGAGACAGGATCCAAACATAAAGCTTAAAAACTATGAACAAATCAAGTTTATTCAGCAAATAAGTGCTTTTTGAGGTTAATGTTCATACATGGTACTAGATTCTGGGGATGTGTGCTCATATGGTGCTTCTATTCTTACAGACATGTGGACATGGTGCCACAATGTGATTGCATCAAGGCATGCTTTCTTTCCCCCATCAGCCCTTATTAGCTCCCCTTCTTCATTGCTCAGGGGCAGGTGGGCTTTACTGAAAGGGTCAGGGACTTCATTAGCATAAGAACTGTCCTCTAAGGACTTCTGTGGAGGTGATAAGAACTTCAATTGGCCCAAGTAACAAAGGATCCTGTGTTGGCTCTCAAAACTGAGAAGTCCAGGCATGGTCGACTATATATCTCAAGCCAGTGAGACTGTCTCTCCGTCTTTGTTGTGTTTTCCTGTTAAACTTTATTCTTAATCAGGACCTTCCTATAGGGTGGCAGGATGGCCACAGGCTGCTCTGGCTTTGTATCCAACCAGCTTAGAACCTTCTAGAAGAGAACAACATTGCTTTATCAATAGTTCACACAGACGCATGAGTCTCACACTTATTGACTCAGAGGGGGTCAGTTCATGATGGTGAGCTGGGGGAGGCATAGTGTCCCGTGGTCACAAGTGCACAAAAGCAAGCCCACCCAAACCCAGTGGGCCGACAGAGGAGTAGGATTGGTTCCCTGAAGGAAAACCTGAATTTTGTTACAGAATTAAAGGGGAGTGTACACCCTTGTGAAAGGAAACTACAGTGTCCACTACACTAACATTTCAAAGCTGTGCTAAGAGGTCAGAAATAGTATGAACAACAACAGCAAACAAAAAAAAACCCAAGCAATAAACCTTCTAAATCTAATGTATTTTCTACTCAGTAGAATCCAAATGGCCTCAGCAATACTTTATGTCTTTTATCCAGCACATGCTTATTATGGGCCCATAACTGTGCAGGACCATCCTGGGGGATGCCCCACCGAGTTGGCACCGAAACTCCCACCCAACATGGCCAAGAACAATCAGGACCGTGAGCTTTCCTTTTGGTTTCCGCGATGGAGGCAGGGCCCTGGACGGGAGGATGGAGGGTGGTCGAGATGGTGGATGATGCAGGGGAGGAGAGAAAGAGAGAGAGACAAGGAGGAAAAGGGGTGTCAGATACCCCTCAGCCCGCTGTGGGGACAAAGGGCAGGCTGCTCCACCATGCGCCCGGTTGGCATGCGGATTATTTTGAGCTGAAAACCATCATGGCACCAAAGACTTAGAAGATAGTTTGGCCTCCACCCTGAAGCTGCATAAAAAGGATTTCGGTGGAGGACCTGCTCCCCGAGGAGAGCTACCCCCAAACTAGGGGTGAGAGGCAGGAAGGAATGTGACAGAATCTCTTAAAATTTCTCTCTGTACCCCATTGTTTCTGTGTGTCAAGTATCTTGTTTACCAAATATTTGCTCTTTCCTATTCCTGTGAACTGCTTCCCTTTCCGTTTGAAGTCTCAGACTCCCACCCCCGACACGTTGGTTCGGGATGGCGTGGATACCTCATTCTCTCCCACTGTCTTTGGAATCCACGTCTATGGCTTCCCTGTA